CCCTCTGGGGGTGCATTCTCACAGTCTCTCTTTTTCTCTGTCTCTCACCAGTGAGCGCATGCACCCTCCGGGAAATTTTTTTAAAGGGAGGAGTGCTGTTAATTACACAGGGACCCCAGGCACAAGCCAGACCTGGGCAAGCACCGCACAGTCACCATGACGCTGGCAGCATCACTGTCGGGGCAGCGATGACTCACGCTCCACGGTGACTCAGACGCAGGGATTCCGGGGAGGCCTAAAACACGGGGCTTCCCCGACCAGGTCGGCCCCTTGCCGCGGCACACTAGCAATGACAAGGCGGCCTTGTTCCCAGAGCCCGGACCAGCCACACCCCAGCGGCAGACCTGCCTTCCCAGGCAGAGGGTGCAGGGCCCAGGCTCTGCCCCTTGCAGACCTCCCCATCCGGCCTCACCCCTGCACATCTCCTTTCCATCACAGGACTCGCAGTGCTCCCTCTGCTGTGGACGAAGGTTCTGCACCCACTCCCGCCGTCCAAAGTGCACACAGCTCGAGAGGCCACCTCCACCTCCACCATCTAGGACGGTCGCGCCCAGCGGGAGGGCAGGTACCCAGGAATGTTCTGCGTAGGGTCGAGCCTGCAACAGCCCAGTCAGAGACAGGGCTGGGGCACGGTATCCACAGTAACGAGCTTGGGTGTGACCTGCAGGCGGTCCAGGGCAGACAACTTGGAGCAGTTTGCAGAGTGCCTCAGGCCCCTAATCTCACTGGAGCCTGTGCAGCCCTGCCCATGGCCACCGATGCCCCCATTCCACACACCAGGAAACCAGTGAGGGCCACCTGAGAACATGTGGCAGCGTCGGCTAGAACCCAGATCCTGTGCTGCCAGGCCACTCCGGCTCCTCCCTCCTCCACGCAGTCCCAGGGGTGTGCCTGTCCTGGCATTCTAGCTTCTGCAGAGCCGACTGGGACCTTTCTCACCTCTGCTGTGAGCCTACAAGGGCCACAGAGCTGGGAGTGGGGTACGGTGGAGGGCTGTTCCCCAACACCCCATCAGCTACCTGGCCCCCATATTCCGAGCGGGTGGGTGGGGGTTCCAGTTGCTGGAAAGCTCCCGGAGGCCCCTCTCATACTTGGGCAAGCTCCCAAGCTGCCTGGAATGGAGGGCCAATGGGGTGGGCGTGGGGAATAGCTGTCTTTGTGTGCAGTTCGTGCAGGGGTAGGGGCTGGCATTGGGGGTCAGCTGGGGGAGCCAGAACCGGCTCCACCAGTCCAAGCCTGGGCTTGGGAGGGAAATTCTTTGGCAGTGAGTCGAAGGTGCTGGGGCGTGTCAGGTGGAACTGGGCAGACAGCAGGGAAGGTGGCGAGTGCTGGCCCAGGAGGACGCTGCTCACCCTGCGAAGCCATGGGAGGGTGCCCTGTAGAAGCAGCAGCTGGGGTCCAGCTCCCAGGGCTGAGCTTCATTCCCAGAACTCTCTCCAGGTGAGTGGCAGACTGGGGAGGACACAGTCTTTAAGATTCTTACAACAGCCTAAGAAAGTAGGAATGTTTATCTCTTCGAGAAGAGAAGATGGGACCAAGCAGATTAGGGTGTTCTTGGAAGTCACCCAGGAGGAAGCGGCAGAGCTGAAGTTTGAGTCCGGAGGCACCCACATTTGGTGCATATGCCGCGGCTCTCCCCGAAGGCCCAGGCTTAGAAGGAGCAGAGCCAGAAGAGGAGGAGGCTCTCCAGGGCCCACCCAGAGAGCGGTCTGAGTAGCAGTAACTCCACTGAACACACTTGAGCCAGGGCTTACGACGGGCTTCTGGACACGCGGCACCCAGGTTGCCCTGAATGACGTGTGCTGGCATTTTCTGGATTTCGGGGTAATATAAAGGCAAAAGTCACAAATGGGGCAAGGGAAGGAGTGGGCTCTGCCTGGTCGGGGTGCGTAGACAATCCTTGGGAGCTGGGTGGGCCTGGGAGAGCAACAGCTTGCAACGGAAGCCTGCACGTGTGGATGCTCTTAGTCCTTCCTCTGACCTGAATTGACTTGCTGACGCCTCAGGGAGGGGACTGAAGGTGTTTGTTTTCCGGCAGGTCCAACCTACAGGCAGATCACAGAATACCAGAGCAAACCCCTGCACTTCGGGGGAGGAAGGGGATCAGGAAGAGAGACGAAGGGCAGATCTGCTGGGGGGAGTGTGGCAGCCCCCACGCCTGCGCCTGGCTCCCTCTCAGCTCACTTTAGAAATACATGGGTTCTTGGGACCAGCAGTTAGCGTAATGGCTATGTCACTGGACTCTCATGTAGTCAACTGCGGACTGAGTCCCGGACTCGGTGGCTTAAACTCACACCAGGCGTGTGTGCGTGCGTGCCCAAGATCCCGAGAGGAGAATGGAGGAGAAGGGATTGTGGCGTGGCCATCTCCCCTGGGGGTGATTTCTCGCTTTCTGTCTCTCTGTCTCTCTCTGTCTTTCTGGCAAGCGCACGCGCCCTATAGCAAAAACCTCTCTAAAAAAAAAAAAGAGAAAGAAAGAAAAGAAAAAGAAACACATGGGTTCTCAATGTGTTGTAGACCAACGAGGACTTCCCAAGAACCCCATCCTGTCTGAGACCCGATGCCCTGAGGAGAGGCCTCTAAGAGAGCTGAGAGGCCAGGCCGAGAAGGATTTGCACGCCCTCCCTCCAGAGCAGAGAGCTCTTCCTCCCTGCCACCCTGTCCAGGCTGCCACTCTGGGCTCCTGCCACCCTCCTGGCCGCTCCTTCCCGCTCTCTCTGGCAGTTCAGCATTCAGCGTTTACCCCGTCAGCCTTTTCTTCAGGACCTCTCTGAGCAAGCCCTCGGCACTAAACGTGAAGCCGTGACCGGGACAGCTCGCCCCAGCGGGGGAGAGCCACCATAAACAAAGCGTGGCGAATGCTCTCATTGCAAATGGTGACGAGGCCCTGTGAAGGAAACGGGGCAAGCAGTGACCAGGGCAGTGGTGATCTGGGGAGGACCCTGAGATGACGTTTGGGCAGAGGTCTCTACAGAAAGGATCCAACCACGTGAGGTTCTGGAGGAAGGGCGCTCGGGCAGAAGGGACCAATGCCGAGCTCCCAAGGCCCCCCGTCCGGCCAGAGCAGGGAGCGGCAGAGTGAGAACGCAGATCCGCAGTTTCCTTCTAGGCAGATGGAAACGAGGAGAGAGTTAGAAACAAGTGACCAGATGGAGTCGATGGGCCCTAGGGGTGCAGGCGCTGAGGGGCCGGCCGGGAAGCCGCAGCAGTTATACGGGCAAGAGTGATGGCCTCGGGGAGCCGTCTGACGGTGTGGTGGTCAAGGTGGCTGGATCCCACCTGGCTGACTGCACAGTTCAAGTCTCGGGCCAAAGAGCTTTGAAAAACACACCAGGCACATGTGGGTATGTGCCCAAAATCCCAAGAGGAGAACGACGGAGAAGGATCTGCAGCATGGCCATCCCCCTGGAAGGTGCTTTCTTACTTCCTTCTCTCTTCTCTCTCTCTCTCACTCTTCTCTCCCTCTCTCTCTCTCTCCCTCCAGCAAGCACATGCACCCTATAAGAAAAACTAAGAGAAAAGAAAGAAAAAGAGAAAAAGAAAGAAAGAAAGAGAGAAGAGAAGAGAAGAGAAGAGAAGAGAAGAGAAGAAGAAAAGGAGCGATGGTGTAGACCAGGGTGGTGGCCACTCGGCGGCCCACGCCCAGCCCCAGCAGCACAGGCCTGTGCACCCGGGCCCACGCCCCCATGTGGAGGGCCACGTGCTCTCACCACCGCGGCAGCACACCCACGGGGTCACTCCCACCACGGCGCCCTGTGAGTCACTCCAGGACCAGGAGGAGGACGTGCGATTGGGGCCTGGACATAACACTTCTCCCCACCCCAGAGCCCCGACGCCTTGGGCGGGTGGAGTGCGGGGTCCCCGGGCCCAGCACGGGCACAGGCGACGTCTCTATGTAGTCCCTGGATCCGGTGTCCTCCTGGGAGCCAGACCGTTAGCCACACCCCACCTGGACTAGCCTCCCCCTTCAGTGCCCGCTGGCACGACCATGGGCGGGGGACTTCCCCTCTCCCAGCCTGCTTCCTCTGTCACAGGAGGGCTGTGAGGCACAGCTAAGTGACAGTTTTAAGAAGCTGGTCTGGGGCAAGCGTCCAGGATGGAAGGGGAGGGGAGGTGGAGAGCGCAGGCCCCAACACCAGGAGCCTCTCAGGAGGGAGGTACAGCGCGGGCTCTGGCTCCCGCTCTGGTGCCGCCTTTGCTCCCCAGCCCTCTGTCTATACTGGGGAGTGGTCTGTGCCTCTAGGGGCCATTATAACTTATTATTATTATTATTATTATTATTCATCTGACCAGGGACAGAGTGAGGGAGAGTAAGCCGCCAGGTCTGGGACTCTAACCGCAGCTGGCCATGAGGGAGTCCAGCGCCTTGACCACCATTCCACTGCCCGTCCCAGGGCCCGTTATAAAGAATGACAGGATCCTGCCCGGAAAGTGCTTAGCTCCGTGCCTGGCTCGTGGCTGGCTCCACACACGGGCGCCGTTGTCCTGAGGAACGCACAGCGCCTTCCTTCAGTGTACGAGCTCTGTGGCTCTGGACCAGCGACCTAACCTCGCTGTGCCTCAGTTTCCCATCTGCGGCTTGGGAAAGACTACTCGTCCCCACTTCATAGGGTCGCCCTGATGACCGAACAAGTGCGTCTATGTAAACGACTCAGCCCAGCCATCCTGGCTGAGGGGCAGCTGCTGCTCAGCAGGCAGAGGCCACATGGGAGGCTCCAGTTCGACTCCCAGCCCACCCTAGGACCAGGTGCGGTGGCGTGCACCTGTGGTCCCATCCGGTTCGACTCCCAGCCCACCCTAGAACCAGGTGCGGTGGCGTGCACCTGTGGTCCCAGCTACTTGGGAGGCTGAGGCAGGAGGATGACACCACAGTGAGACTCTGTCTTTGAAAGGACACCACACGCACACGTCCAGATCCAGAGCCGTGCCTGGGACAGTCAGTGCTCAGAACTGTCACCTGCCCGTTAACCTGATGGCTTTTCCTTCCCCCTCAGGTAGGCACAGCCCCCGGGGCCCCCGCCAGGCGCCATGGACTGGAAGACACTCCAGGGCTTGCTGAGTGGCGTGAACAAGTACTCCACGGCCTTCGGGCGCATCTGGCTGTCGGTGGTGTTCGTGTTCCGGGTGCTGGTGTACGTGGTGGCCGCGGAGCGCGTGTGGGGTGACGAGCAGAAGGACTTCGACTGCAACACCAAGCAGCCGGGCTGCACCAACGTGTGCTACGACAACTTCTTCCCCATCTCCACCGTCCGCCTCTGGGCCCTGCAGCTCATCTTCGTCACGTGCCCCTCGCTGCTGGTCATCCTGCACGTGGCCTACCGCGAGGAGCGCGAGCGGCGGCACCGGCTGAAATACGGGGACCAGTGCGCCAAGCTGTACGACAACGCGGGCAAGAAGCACGGCGGCCTGTGGTGGACCTACCTGCTCAGCCTGGTCTTCAAGCTCATCGTCGAGTTCCTCTTCCTCTACATCCTGCACACGCTGTGGCACGGCTTCGCCATGCCGCGCCTGGTGCAGTGCGCCAGCGTGCAGCCCTGCCCCAACACCGTGGACTGCTACATCGCGCGGCCCACCGAGAAGATGATCTTCACCTACTTCATGGTGGGGGCCTCGGCCGTCTGCATTGTGCTCACCATCTGCGAGCTCTGCTACCTCATCTTCCACAGGGTCCTGCGCGGCCTGCACAAGGACAAGCCCCAGCGGGACCGCCATTCCCTGCCCTCCAGCAGCTGCTGCCACCACAAACTGGCGGAGGTGGAAGGGCTGGTTGCGGACCCAGGCAATGACAAGCTGCAGGCTTCGGCGCCCAAGCTGTCCCCCATCTGACCACAAGCCAGCAGGTGGGAGGGAGGGGGCTGCCAATGGGATGGGGGAGGCGTTGCAGGGTGGAGGGTCCTACCACTGCCAGGTGCCCACTTGGAGTCCGTGAAACTGTCCAGTTTGGATCAGGTATGCTTCCGCGGTGGGCACATGCCCATCCTGGTAGAGGGAACACCACAGACCCAGTGCCGGCCCTCGGAGGAGGCAGAGGCTTAATCGAGCAAATGAACTATATGCAGGCAAGAAGATGCTTAGGGGGCTCAGAGGGGGGCTCTACCCACCCTGGGAGGAGCGAGCTGTAAGAGGCAGACGTGCTCCCAGCAGGGAGAACAGCAGGTGCAGAGGCCTGGGGGACCCGAAAGGGAGCTTGCCCTGGGCTGGACGCAGCAGACCACAGGAGTCTCACCCTCAGAGGAGAAGAGCCTTGCCCCAGAAGCAGGAGGGCTGGAGGCATGAGAGTGACACTTCGGTGACACCAACCCCTCTAGGAGACATCCGGGCGTCCTCTGGGTCACCACTTCTCTCTCCCCCGTCTCCCCAGTACACTTGCTCCCACAGACATGCTCTGACTGGTGCCAGCCCTTCCTGCCAGGGAGTTGGGGTGAAGGTGCTGCCCGGAACACTCCCAGGGCATTTGCTCTGAAATAATAAAGGCTGTTTTATACAGGTCGGCTCTGTCTTCGTTTTCCCACATCCCATCACAGGACCCCAGAGCAGGGGAGGTGGCTCTCAGAGGGGGAAGGTCCCTTGACCGTGGCTGGAGCTGAAGTCAGGCGGGGCTGGGGTCCACGGGTGGCAGCTGGGTGGGGTTGGAGGTGGAGGTTGGGTAGGACCTCCCCGCGAGCTGTTGGGATTCTAGTTATGACCACAAGGGGGTGCAGTGCTCCCCTTACAACTGGGCGCTGGCCTTCTGTCCGACCGCCCTTAGCACACACACACAATCACTGTCACTCTCACTCTAGACAAACCACACTCCCTCCTCCGTCGTCACCACCGTCACAACCACACCCCCGCCCTGTGTACACACAATCCCAGTTATTCACACTCTCCTGGCACGTACTCCTGACAGGCCACCTGGTCAGCCCCACCCAGCATCTGATTCAGCTCACTCCGTTTTTCCTCCAGCATCTTCTCCACACCAGGCTTCTGGACGGATGCCAGCCTGAGCCCAAAGAGCTCGGAGTCTGGGGAAGAACGAAGCACAGACTGGGGCCCAGCCCTGGCCCTCCCCTGGGCGGCTCAGAGCCCCACACCCAGGGCTTCATGACGCTCAGAGGCCAACATCTCAGGCCACAGTGGAACGGGAACCCAAAGGGGCCTGAGGCCATGCTGACCCTGAGAACAGTTAGTGACTGTCGAGTGGAGGCCAGAGCCAGAGTCAACTGCCAGCCCACGCAAGGAGGGGTGGGGTCATCATGTAGACAGACCAGGACTGGACCACAGCTCGAGCACGCGGGAGCACAGCCTCCCCATGCAAGCCCTCGGAGCCCGGACCTGCAGTCAGGACGGCCGGAACTGAGCAAGCAGGACCGCAGCGGAACACAGGCAGCACATTCGAACCAAGGCACTTTAAGAGAGTTCCCCAGAGTCTGTTCTCAGGCACCAGGGAGCAAACCCCTAACGTGGACAGGAGCTGCCGGCCACATCCTGTGCAGACACCCCCGGCCTCACTGTCCCATCTCCTGCTCTCTGCCCAGGGGCTCCCATGGCCCGACCCAGCAGAAGCCAGAGGGCAAGGTAGTCAGTGCAGCTCAGCCGCCCAGGGCGCAGGGCAGGGTGGAGCAGGGCAGGGGACAGAGCCCAGGGCTGACCACTCAGGACAGCTCCCGCAGGCAAGACCAGTGGCACAGTGTGGTGTAGCCAGTAAACACCAGGGGGCGGCCGTGCTCTGATGTTCAGCCCAGCTCAGGCTGGGTGGGTCCAAAGGCCTCAGGGAGAGGAGGTCTCCACCTTTTCCCCACACTTGAAGTTCAGCCGTTCAGCCTCTTCCTGGGTGGTTCCTGCTGCCTGGTGAGAGTTAGAGCCACCAGGGAACCATCAGCTACCACTGCAGGGACCGCATGCTCTCCTGGACGGAGTGTCTCATCCCGGCCCCGCTTCTCCCGGCCATGGGCAGGACCACGGAGGAGGCTCTCCAGCCCCGCATAGCCCACCTGCGACCCGACAGCTCTTCTGATCTTACCTGGTCCATGAGGGGCTACTGCTCACTCCCAAGTCCCCAGGGCACATGGCTGTCACCACAGGGGGCCCTCACACACAACTGTGGCCTGCCTTCTCAGGGTGCACACCTCGACCTCTTCCTCCCACATCACGTGAGGACTCACAGCACACTTTCTAGATCCGTGCAAGACAGCTGGGATTCCACAGATGGGCTTCAAACCCCAGCTTGGACTGCTGATTCCACCTCTGCTTCCTGCCCCAATCCTGGGGAGCAGACTCTGAGGAGGGGTGCAGTGCAGAAAGCATATGGGGAAGGCCCACCTGTGAATGGGGATGGGAATGGGGCAGGTGCTCAGTACTAAGCACGAGACCCACCCCAGGGAGACCTGAAGCGACAGTTGTCACGAGAGGCGTCCTGCACTGGGCAGCAGAGAGAGGCTTGGCCATTGCTTGGGGCCACTGCCTGGGGCCACCCCAATAATTCAGCCACTGGGACAACAGAAGCAGACCTGAAAGTGCTAAGAGGTAGAGGCTGTCAGCTGACCAGACTACACACCACTGGGCAGCAATTCCTGCACTGGAGGACACGTCTGTCTATCACTTACCCCATAGTCTATGCCCGGCACAGCAGCCAGGGTGATCTCACCAAAACCTGGGCTGGGCCGTGTCAATCCTCTGCCCCAAACCTCCAAAGGCATCTCCCATGGGTCTCCCAGAGCCCGCAGTTCTGCCGGCCACCACCTCACCTACTGCCCTTACGCACACACCCCTCTGCACACCCGCACCAGGCGCACTGAGCCTGCTATTTCCAATGGAGAAGAGCCAGCACACTCCTGCCTCGGGGCCTTTACACCAGGCTCCCTCTGCTGCCACCTCCTACGCACCCAGTCATCCTGCTTCACCTTCCCATGGCCACCTGACATGGTCTACGCATTCCCGTCGTCCCTCAGACAGGGTGAAAACCCACCACAGCATGGGTTTTGTCACTGGCCCCCGGCTGAGCTTGGTGTCTAGGACAGTGCCACAGTACCCAGAAGGTACTTAGTAAATACCTGTTGGAGTGGGGCCGGGAGGTGGCATAGTGGTTAAGGTGTTGGATTCCCACATGGCTGGCTTAGGTTCAAGACCTGGACCTGGCAACTTACTTGTTTGCTTTCCCTGTCTCTCTCTGTCTCTCTCTCTCTCTCTCTCTGGTCAAATTAAAAATCAGAATACCAGGGACCAACAGTTGGCATTATGGCTATGTTGCTGGACTCCTATGTAGTTGACCGTGGTTCGAGTCCTGGACCTGGTGGCTTAAACTCACGCCAGGCACGTGTGCATGCGTGCCCAAGATCCTGAAAGGAGAATGGAGGAGAAGGGATTGCTGCGTGGCCATCCCCCCGGGGGGTGATTTCTTGCTTTCTGTCTTTCTGTCTCTGTCTGTCTTTCTGGAGAGTGCACACGCCCTATAGCAAAAACCTCACCCAAAAATATAAATTAATTAATTAATTAAACAATAATAATAACTAATGGAATTAAATAAGTAATCATAATAAATGCCAGCTTGACTGATAAACTCCTACGCGGGCATGGTGCCCTGCTAGGTGCTGGGAACAGTAATCATAATAAATGCCAGCTTGATTGATAAACTCCTACACGGGCATGGTGCCCTGCTAGGTGCTGGGAACACAAACACGAGCCTGCCTTCAAGGGGCTCTCGGGGGTAAACACCAACAGGGCACCAAGGCGTGCGGGAAGGAGAGGAAGGGCGTCTGTGGGGTCCGAGTCTCCGTCTTGCAAGATGGAATAGCTCTGGCATTCACTGCCCATACTCCACCCTCCTGGACTCAGAGTGGTGAAATGGTGAGTTTCATGGTGTGCGGCTTTTTTTCAACCACAATTTTTTTGAGGTTTTTACCACAGGGCATGTGGGCTCGCCAGAGAGAGACAAAGAGACGGTGAGAGGAGAAGTGAGAAATCGCTCCCCAGGCGGAATGGCCACACCGCAATCCACTCTACTCCATCCTCCATGCACACAGCCAGCATGACTTTCAAGCCACCAGGTCTAAGACTCAAACTGTGGTCAACCATGTGGCATCCAGGGCCTTAACCACCACACCACCAGCTGGCCCTCCACCACGATGTTTTTTAATGCACCATGGGCTCTACTTGAGCTGCTAAGAGCGCAGAGAGAGCCCTACCTCAGTGGAGGCCAGCAAGAGGACTTCTAGGAGGAGGGGACATCCAAGCAAGGTCCTGAAACCTACACAAGGCTCAGCATGCGCAGTGCTCCAGGCAGGGGGATGGCTCAGACACAGGAAGTTAGATATGGCTATCAGAGTGAAAGAGGGCGGGGATGACGCAGGAGAGGTGGCCGAGGCCAGAGGTTGGGAGAGCTCAGGCCTGGCTTACCCGAGGCTACAGGAAGCCACAGCTTTCTCAGTAGGACAGAGTTGTGGGGGATTTCTAGGGATGCATGGAGGCTGGGTCAGGGTGGTTAGAGGCCAGGAGGCCAGCTGGGAGGCCACTGGAATGGGGGGGAGTGGGGTCTCAATGTCTCCCAGGTGGAATGGTCAGGTTGTGGGGTGGCTGCCTAGGCTGAAACCAGCTCCCTCCTCCCTTCAAGAAGGATATTCAAACTGATCTCCAGAGGCCTGAGGGAGGGGTCAAGCAGGGTGAGAGCAGCTTGGCGTCACCCCCAGCCCACCCTCCCTTCCCCTTCCCAGTAGGCGGAGCAGGAAGGCTGTGGGAGGCTGGGCCCAGCCTCCTCCAGAAGGGCTGCAGTGGAGGCGCGGCCAGAGCACCTCCAGGGACTCCTGTTCTCATGCCCTGGGGTCAGAACTGAGTGGGTGCAGTCCTTCCCTCTGGAAACCCAGGAGGCCCAGCCCAGCCCGGCCCTGAGGGAGAGGCCTGGAAGGCAAAGCCAGCCTGCCCCGCCCCCCAAGCCACCTCTGAAGTTCCGGTCCGAGCCCACCGCTTGCTGACCCAGGGGGCCCTCCTGCTGGGGCTGAAGACGAACCCTCAGAACCCAGCCTGGGGCCCAGGGAGTCCAGGGTCTGAACCTTGCTGTGGAAAAACAGGGACCTTTCTGCCACCAGCCCCGGCCTGGCACCCTCCCGCCACTTTCCCTTTCTCTCGCTGCCCCGCGCCCTCCTCCACACCGCCCCAGAGGTCCCTCCAAACCCAGCCCAGGACCCTGTGTTACACCACTGGGCAGCTTTCCGGGCCGGTTTTGCATACGGGCCCACATCTCCCATCAACACCATCAAGAGGCCACTACTACAGTCTGGGCTCTCCAGGGCTACAGAGGGTAGGAGAGGCACCGTCCCAGAGGAGGACAGGAGAGGCACGTCCCAGAGGAGGACGGGAGAGGCACGTCCCAGAGGAGGACAGGAGAGGCCCGTCCCAGAGGAGGACAGGAGAGCCACGTCCCAGAGGAGGACGGGAGAGGCACCATCCCAGGGAGCGCCGCAGTCAGCACTTCCGCTCTGCCACCAGCAGTCAGCACTGCCCGGTTCTGGGGTTCCTCTCCCAGGAACGCTGCTCCCTGGGAAATGTCCTAACTAAGTCCCCTGGGAGTCGCCAGGCAGCCTGTCACGTCACCCAGCACAGGGCTGGTGTGCTTAATCCCTGGCCCAGCAAGGGCTGGTCTTCCCCACCCACACAGGCTGCCCTCCAACACCCACTCGTGGTCCCAGTGAGGCCCCACCACCCCCTGAGGCCTGAGAATGGGCCCAGGCCGAAGCTCAGAAGGTTCTCCCCAGGCCTCACCTGGAGGTGCCTCACTGACCCGTGGTTGTGTAGCTGGAGACATCAGACAATGCTGTCGTCGAGAGAGCGATTTTTGAGAGAGAGGGAGAAAGTGAGAAATCACTCTTCCCCCACACACACACCCACGGAGGGATGCTTCAGTCCCCTCTCCTCCATTGTCCTCTTGGGATCTTGGGCACACATGCACACACACACACACACACACACACACAGCATGGGGTCTGGGATTTGAACCTTAGCCAACTACATGGGAGCCCAGCCAGGTGCCATCTGCTGGTCCCAATGTCAGATAATTCTGGAAGCAGGAGGGCTGGGCAGAAAAGCCAGCAGGGTACCCAGATTCCTTGTGTCTTAATAGTGAGACCCCCCAAGTCCTGGCACCCTGCAGTCACCACGCCCACCTGCCATCGCTGGGTCCCTCAGGCCAGCTCGGCCAGGCAAGGACTAGTCCTAATCCTCCCAAATCCCGTCACCCTGGAAGCCCCGCCCTGGGCGCGCTCACTCCATGGCGAGGAAACTGAGGCAGGAGCGAACGCCATCCCGAGGGAGGGATGGAGAGAGTGGGGAAGGGGATGGAGGGGGATTCCCAGTCCCCGCGGCCCCGCACTCCGGAGTTGGGTCCACGGAGCGAGCGCCCCTGGTCCTGCTGCGGTCCGGTCCGGTCCCCGCCCCCGCGGGTCCCTCTAGCGCCAGCCCTCCCCGTCGCTTCCTGCCCCCACCCCGCCCCTCGGCGCTGCTATTTAAGGCGCCCCGCCGCGGTGCAGTAAGGTTCCCGCGGCGCCGCTGGGCCGTCGTCCCCACCTGCACCTGGGCCGGCGGTGAGTCAGGGTGGTGGCGGGCGCACCTGCTCGGGGAGGTCCGGGGAGGTCCGGCGGGGCACGCGGGTCCTGCAAGGCCGAGCCTGACCCTGACGTTGGCCGCAGGGCGCCTGCGGACTGGGCCCCTCTGCCAGCCCCCGCGGGCCAGCCGGGTGCCAAGTGCTTCCTGCCTCCTTCCCATCGAGTGCTCACACCCGCCCCGCCCGGGAGGTAGGAAGACCGTTCTTTCCACTTCACCGTGGGAGAGGGAACAGGCGCCCAGAGGCCGTTACTTGCTCAAGGGCCCGGGTAGTGAGAGTGAAAGGAGGAATTGAACTCAGGTTCAAAGCCTGGCCCTGCACAGATCTGCTCCTGGGAAGAGCCACCTTCCTCCCCCTTCCCACAGCTTGTTCCCCCAAATGCTCTGGGCACTGCTGGCCTGTGTCTGCACCTCGCAGTGACAATTCCTTTCCTGCAGCCGGGCTCTGGCGGCGGGGGAGCGTGGGGGAGGCGGATGCTGAAGTTGCGGAGGGCTTAGGCTGACAGGTGGGCCCAAGGGCTGCCCTTCTAACCACCTTGTCGGACCCAGCCCCCGTTTCAGTGAGGCCAGCTGGGGAGGGGGCAGGGAGGGGAGGCCCTGCAGCTTTGACCCCCTGAGAGGCCGAAGGTAAAACCTCCATGCCACCCCGCACTGCCACTGTCGCCACTGTCCGGCAGCCAGCCTCAGGCAAAGGGAGGGAGGGCTTGGCACAGCTGTGCTGCCCCGACTTCTGTGTTCTTAGGCAGAGAAGCCACAGCGCGCTTGGGTCCCCTGGGGCCATAGTCATCCTGGGGCTCTGGGTGAGGACGAGAGGGACACAGAAGTGATGGGACAGTGTCCCTAACTGTCCCCCTGCCATTCCGAGAAACACAGGGCTCGCCGAAGCTGCTGGGTGCAGGAGCACTCGACCGTGGTGGGCAAGATCTGGCTGACGGTGCTCTTCATCTTCCGTTCCGAAAAACACCGGTCTCGCGGGGAGCCCAGCGGCTGTCACAGACCATCTGCTCCGGCTCCCCCTGCCCTGCTCCACTGAGCCCCCAGGCCAGGCCTTCCCCTCCCTGAGCCACCCTGGGTAGGATGGGCGTGGCAGCCCCCTCCTCCAGGCTCGTTGCTCGGACAAGCTGAGGCAGATGCCTGGCTGTCACGTCACGCTGACGCTGTCTCCCCGCAGACGGAGGCCCTGGAGCCATGGGTGACTGGGGCTTCCTGGAGAAGCTGCTGGACCAGGTGCAGGAGCACTCGACCGTGGTGGGCAAGATCTGGCTGACGGTGCTCTTCATCTTCCGCATCCTCATCCTCGGCCTGGCCGGCGAGTCGGTGTGGGGCGACGAGCAGTCCGACTTCGAGTGCAACACGGCGCAGCCAGGCTGCACCAACGTCTGCTCCG